TTTGTAGCTAAAGAGAATAATCTTGGGAACCTCTCTTTTAGGCTCACTCCTTCTATCCACACATCTTCCCAAAATAGTGTCTCCTTGCCATCCCCTATCTTTCTAACACACCCGTCCTTTAACCATCCATTGTTCGAACTATCTACTCTATCTAATTTCCACACCCCTCTCCACCATGTTGATCCCTTCTCATTCTGCACACACCCATCCCAACCCCTTGCCCTTGCCGACCCATATTTCTCAAAAATAACCCTCCTCCACAATGATTTTTTCTCCCTCAAAATCCTCCACTTCCATTTTCCTAACAAAGCTTTGTTAAAACTCTCAAGGTTCCTAACTCCTAGACCTCCCTCTGATTTTTTCCTACAGACCTCCTCCCATTTTATCCATGCAATCCTTCTCTTACCCTCCCCCCTCCCCATAAAAAATTGCGTTGAAGATTAGTGAGTATGTAGGTTACCTTTTTTGGGGCTTTGAATATAGAAAAGAGATACACGGGTAAGCAGGATAATACCGCATTGAGAAGGACAATTCTACCTCCGAAAGATAATGCCCCTCCCCCCCAACTGTCGAGTCTTCTTCTCATGCAATCAATCACCGGGCGCCATGTTGAAATTCTATTTGGGTTTGCTCCTATCGGGACCCCTAGGTAATTAAATGGGATTCTCCCCACCGAGCAATTCATAATTGATGCCATTTCACCGAGAAAATCACCATCTATGTTCATTCCGCAAAGCCAGCTCTTATCAAAATTCACCTTGAGGCCAGAAATCAGCTCAAAACATCGCATTACACTTTTCATTGCCCATGCACTCTCCTCAGTTGCCTCACATGTTAGAATGGTGTCATCCGCGAACTGTAAGTGTGAGATCCGGAGCTCACCTTTGCCCACTTGAATTCCTTTCAGCATTCCGATCTCCTCAGCTTTTCTCATTAGGCCACTTAGAGCTTCTGCCACCATCAGAAACAAAAAAGGTGAAAGAGGGTCGCCCTGTCTTAGCCCTCTTCCAACATGGAACTCTTCTGTTGGGCTACCATTTATAAGCACGGACACTGTTGCTGTTGATACACATTCTTTCATCCAATTCCTCCATTTCACCTTGAATCCCAACTTGTCCATCATATAATCTAAGAATCCCCATTCCACATTATCATACGCCTTTTCAAAATCAGCTTTGAAAATTAAACCCGCCTTATTGCTCCTCTTCATATCATGTAACACCTCATTTATAATGATAATGCCATCAGTTATCTGCTTATTCCCTACAAATGCTGTTTGGCTTTCACTAATAATACTAGGCATCACCTTCCTCAATCTATTTGCCAAAAGCTTTGAGATGATTTTATACATGCATCCAATCAAATGCTGAGGTGATTATTTCTAGTTAATTTTATAAATTATAAGGATTAAATTGTATAAAGTAATGTTGGAGAAATTTTGAAGATTTTTCCTTACCAAACAACAGAAAATGTTTTCTTGAAAAATCTTCTAAACTATTCCAAACAACAAAAAATAATTTTTAAAAGAGAATATTTTCCTTGAAAAATACTTTCAAAATAAAGTCTCTTTTTTTTTGTGAACCAAACAAACCCTAAAGCCATTCAAGCAGTGCTGAGAGATTAGGAGCAGACAAACAGGAGAAAGGAACAGGAAAATGGTAGTGGGTCTAGCAAATCCATCATTTTGAATTACATGGGTGCGTTGTTTTTTGATAGATGGTTAAGCTTTTTGATTGGTTCTGTTCTCCCAATTCTGTTCTCATATTGTAAATATTATAACAAGTGCAGAGATATATTTGTCTTATTGCTATAAAAGCAATGATAATGGCTTTTTCTTCTTCTTCTTCTTTTTGTGATTAATCTAATATGGATTCAAATTTGGGATTTGGAAGTAGTTTACAACATTAAAAATTAGGGAGGAAGGAGGGTAGGGACCAACGATTTGTTAATATGAGTAAAAAAACTTATTTTATTCAACAAGATTTTAAATTTAAATTTCATAAGTAAAAAGATAAATATTAAAAAATTTTATT